GTGTGTGTGTGTGTGTGTGTGTGTGTGTGTGTGTGTGTGTGTTTAAACCACCTGCAGTGCATGGCAGCAACATCAGATGAGTGGGAGTAGTGATTCCACAACAATAAAAGGGCAGAGCAAAGCTGAATATACACTTCTATATGGCAGTCCTTCATTCAGTCATCCTTCACTCCTTGTCTCTTCATTTTTTATGGTCCGTTCGCTCGTTAATTCTTTTTTTCCCCATTTCTCCACATATCACCTCTTTGCCAAAATGATGTTATATAAAAAAAGATGATCACTTATATCATTTATGCTCATGGGAGTTCAAGAGCAAATAACTTTATTTATATCAGTGTTTTTCTTCTTAAGGAGACCGTGTTTGCTCTTAAAGAGGAGAGCTTTATGAGTGGCAAAGGACGTTGTCCATATGACCCGAAGAGTTCCTGCGTATCTACTCTTTCCAGTAAGACATGGCCAGTTCTTTCACTAAGTTTACCATGAGCTAACTTAAAAGACACGTTGTCAGAGTGCTCTTATATGTTTTAATTTCAGTTGCACTCTATCTCAGTAGATTTGCTTTCTTTGTTCATTGGTTCACCTTTTAGCAGTAAATGCTTCCATCTTGTGGTTATTTGCAATACTACACTATTTGCAGAAAGAGCAGAATTAATGTTTTAACAATGAAATCGTTGTGACTCATCTATGTGTTCATCAGGAGGAGAACTGTACATTGGCTTGTACACTGACTACTGGGAGAACGATGGTGCTTTGTGTCGACTTAACAACCACACTTACACACGAACTGAAAGAAATGACAGACAGCAGCTCAATGGTTGGTTTGTATTGAAATAACTTTTTTTATGAATGTGACAAATCTGCCATCATGCCTAATTTTCAGACCATTTAGATATGGCCTTCACAACAAATGGTAATTTGGAAGGACTTTATTTTAGTAAATCAAAGCTACTGTATAGGATTTGATTACTACACTCTAAAAATGAAATGTTGGATTAACTTAACCATGTTATGTTACCTGGTTCCACTTAACTGAGTTGAGTAAATTCAAAGCAACATACTCATGTTCTTTGGCTAAAAAACTGATATATTGCTTTGAATTTACACAACTCAGTTAAGTGGAACCAGGTAACATAACATGGTTAAGTAAATCCAACATTTCATTTTTTACAGTGTATCATATAAATAAAAGCTTCTTACAAATACTTTAAAATCATTATGAACTAACAGCAAATCAATGGAGTGTTCTTTTCTTGTTTTATGGTATTTAGTTTGTGTCGTCGTGCATTTTCTCTGCAGAGCCCAAGTTTGTGGCCTCAGCAGTCATTCCCGACAACGATGACAGGGACGACGACAAAGTTTACTTTTTCTTCACGGAGCGAGAAATGGATGCGGATGGAGTGAACAGAGCTGTGTACGCTCGAGTCAGCAGAGTGTGTGCGGTGAGAACGCTGATGCACCGGCTATGTTTCTGCTCATAATTCAGCCTGCTCTGACAGAGCAATTAGAGTTCAGTCTGATCTAACTTCACAGAATGACCAAGGAGGACAGAGAATGCTGGTGAACAGATGGAGCTCTTTCCTTAAAACCCGTCTCATCTGCTCTGTACCTGGACCACTCGGTATAGATACACACTTTGATGATCTTGGTAAGACCGCGTGAATACTTACTGGGTGTCATTTGGCTTTTTCTTCAACTTTTCTCTCTTTGTACTTGTCAGTCACGTGCACCATGAAACTATGCCTTTTGGATGTTTTGTACACTCTGTGCATGATCTACCATAACAAGTATTTAACTATAAAACATTCATTAAACATTTTTTTTCTTCTCCCACACAAGTTAGATGACAATAATTGTTTTCTGTTTGTTTGATTTCAGAGGACGTATTTGTTCTCAACAACAAAGACAAGAAAAATCCAGAAATCTTTGGCCTCTTTAGCACAACGAGGTTAGTAAAGAGGGGCACCTGGAGGCTATAACACCTTTTTTTTCTCACCAGAACGCTAATGAAATGACTCTCTGCAGTGCTGTGTTTAAAGGTTATGCAGTGTGTGTTTATAACATGGACGACATAAGAGCAGCTTTTAACGGACCGTTTGCCTCCCGAGAAAGTCCTGAGCATCATTGGACACCTTACGAGGACAGAGTCCCCTACCCCCGACCTGGATCTGTGAGTCTTGAGTTTTAAATCAAATGTATTTATGGTATAAAACTACCAGAGTGCTTCATATTATTCATTCTCTCTGTTCGTCATTTCACTCAGTCTGCGCCCACAACAGATGAGCTTCTAAAGCCATCATTTTTGAAAAATGCAAGGCAGCTTGTCTAAATGTCAGGACTGTTGTCACTACCTCAGCAGTTTTTACAGGGGCAGCCTCTGAGCCTGACTAACTACTGTCAGCTTTTGTGTTTTTCACATTGGCCAGTACTGACATCCTTGTTTTTACTAACACCCACAGTGTGCCAGTAAAGTGAACGGTGGAGGCTTCTCCAGCTCTAAGGAGTTTCCTGATGAGGTTCTGCGGTTCGTGCGCTCCCACCCTGTGATGTATCGTCCAGTCCTTCCGCAGCATCACAGACCTGTCCTTCTGCAGACAGAGCCAGGCAGAAGAAAGCTGACCCAGATTGCAGTGGACAGAGTCCAAGCCCAAGATGGACACTACCATGTCCTGTACATCGGCACCGGTAAACACAGGGCTGCAACATAATGCAAATTATTATTCTTAAAGTAAAATGCTTCACAATACTAAGAACATGTAGCTGTGTAACACACAGGCTTAATTAGATTATATAAAACTCCACCTATTTATACAAAGCTCCTCCTTAAATCTCAGTCTGCAGCTCACTCCCCGCCCTACAGAGTACCCCGTTTAAAAACTTACATTAGTAAAAGACATTATATTAGTTGTTATTTATATAGACGGAAACCTCGACGTTTTACTAGGTAAAAATAATCTCTATAATTTTGTTCCAGTATATATTCAAATGCGTGCAACAATCTTCTTCTTTTTTTAGATGACTCTGTGGTTTTGAAAGTTATCACCATCTATAATAAAGATACCGACACCATGGAGGAGGTGCTGCTAGAGGAGCTGCAAGTGTTCAAGGTATATACTGCTAAAAAAAATAATAGTAAAAAAACAAAACAAAACACAAAAAAACTGTTCATAAAACAAAACATGTTTCTACTTTATGGTTTGTTGGAGTAGGGGATGTGTTTCTCATCTTGCAAATAAAATAATACACATTTGAAGTCCAGACAAACTGCTAAAGTGGTAAAATATAAAGTATAATTAGTGGTTTGATGTTCAGCCTATATAACATTTTAGGGAAAATGAACTCATGAGGAAGCACACCACTTTTTTATGCCACTTGATGCAAAACTGATTCAAGATGATTTCTGAATTACATCATTTTTCATCTCAATTTTAGGTGCCAGCACCAATTACAGAGATCATCATATCGCCTAAAAGGGTAAGAAAACCTGTTTTTATTGCTGCAATTCTTCTATTTAACCACAAGGTGACACTGTTGGACAATGTTGCATTAAACATAACTAACATATTTTAAAGACACTGTAGCCTATTTACAGTTAAGTAGCCTATTTGGATGAGAAAAAGACAGAATGGATAATGGACATCTGCTTCCAACAAAACTAGGTTTTGAAAACAACGTAACTTTTTTTTTGGTTCCACAGCAACAGCTGTATGTGGGGTCAGCAGTGGGCGTTGCACAGGTCAGACTGCATCAGTGTGACCTGTATGGTTCAGAGTGTGCTGACTGTTGTCTGGCCAGAGACCCATACTGTGCCTGGGATGGGCTCACCTGCTCCAGATACTACCCTGCTGGAGTTTACACCAAGAGGTAACAGCACGCACACGTTCACTGCAGATGTTTGAGGTTGGTGTCAGCTGTTCACACCTCCACCAGAAGAGTTTTTTTTTCTTGCCCTAACAGTCACAAGTCTGTGACGCTTCTTACCAAGTGATTATTCTAAGACACATGACAGGCAGGTGTTACGTAAGTCCTGTCAGGTCTGCACATGTTTTATCTTTGCTTTCATCTTTCCCCAAATTTCACTCACTTGCTTTCAGCTCACACGTCCATCCTCCTTTCATCACACGTTTAAAGTGATTCCTTCTCGCTTACTGTCTGCAGCCGACGATTCAGACGACAAGATGTTCGCCATGGCAACGCCGCACAGCTGTGCAATGGGCTGCAAATTGATGGTTAGTATACTAAATGACTGTGAAAAGCGCATTTGTAATGGTGTGTGTGTGCATTTGTGGCTTTATCTAAAAAAACATACATAATTGGTTGAATACAGCATGCATGCTGCAGAGACACTGAGAAATTAGAGGTTTAAAAAAATCCTTTCTGTGCCTTTTCTGCTGGAGGTTGCTGTGAGGTCAGTGTGCACGCACTGGAGCAGAAAAAACAATCAGCTTTACATTATCCATCTGATGAAAGGTCACTGCAGTCAATAGCCATCATTCTAGCCTCACTATCTTTTATGATGTGTGTGTGTGCTTGTGCGTAGATGAACAATGGCAAAGAGCAGAGGAGAGGCTCGTTTACAGCGTGGAGAGCAACAGCACTTTACTGGAATGTGTCCCTCGATCACTTCAAGCTAAGGTCCTCTGGTTTTTACAGAAAGAAGGAGAGAAACATGAGGTGAGTTTTAAAATGTCACCTTTTACTTTACAACTTAAGTAGTTTTTAAACAATTAGGTTACTGTTTTGTAAGAAACCTATTGAGCTCTATTAAATGCATTTCATTTGTACATGTTTATGCTTGAGATGTTTAGAATATTTTTCAAACCGGTGAGTTTATTTTTATTACTTGATTAAGTTGAACAAGTAGTTCCATGATGAACGCACTGGTACAACACAATCATACAAATTTTGTTTCTGCATTTAAGATTTCAGAATTTCAGTGTTAGAAAACTGTGTCTCTGTCCCCTCCTTTAGTGATGTCATTTCCAGGAGGCGTGACTCATTTCTGGAGAAACAGATAAATACTGTGTTATGATGAACAATGCAAATTTCCGTTTGTTGAGACTATGAGCCAGGGGGAGGCTCTGGGTAAACTGGGCCACAGTGATGCGATGTGATAAACGTTACGTGACTGCAAATAAATCTGAGAACAGGATCAGTGTCCTACGTGAATTCAAGCTCTCAAAATAGAACTCACATCTAACAGTTTGATGCAAAGTTTTCAAATTTGATATCTAACTTCAATAACTGCCTGTTATCATCAGCTTCTAGAAACAATTAGTTCCACTTACTCTAATAGAGCCATGAAGGTTACAGTTTATTCGGCCATCATGGTGGAATCATAGATATGAACAGGGAACAGGCAGCTACAGAAAGGCCTTGTATATCAATCAATCAATAAGTTCATTCACTCAATTCAACAATTTTCATCACAACATACAAACACATTTTCTTTTAACACATACTGTGCATGAGTGAAAAGGGAGCAGGACGAAGAAAAATCTTGTATAAACCTGCTCCTTTTTCAATAATTACAATTCATTTTTCATGGCCACATTCATTAAATCACAAATAGAATCTGCAAACAACATATCGTTCTCCTCATTAACTCAAAAGTGTACAAGACTTAATCATTTTTTCCTCATAAAGTATTTTAAATTGATTTAAAGTAGAACATTTTTTCAAATCGTCATCCAAACTATTCCATAATTTTACTCCATAAACTGAAATACACATTTGCTTTAAAGTAGTACGCACAGTTTTACTTTTAAAATAATATTTCCTTCGGTTATTTCTGTCATTTGAGCTTAAGACAAAAAAAACTTTTGTAAATTAAATGACAATGATGTCTTTCTTGCTTTAAACATAATTAATACAATTTTTAAATTAACTAAATCCCGTAGTTTCAAGATATTTGATTGAATAAAAAATTATTTGTATGTTCTCTGACATTCACTTTATACAGAATTCTCATAACTTTCTTCTGTAACACTCATTTATATCTGTATATCTGAAAACAACCCTTTGTTTTATTGTTGGTGCTTCAGTGTGCAGGACTGATACACACGTGTTTAAATGTCTTTAAGTTTAGACTACAAATTAGATTTAAACAAGCACTATACAGTACAATAAATAAATTTAAAAAAAGCTTGGAGTACATTAGTCATTGTATTGAGTGAACTGTTAAAGTGCCAGCCCTCCCTAACTCAATAATTGCAGTTCCTTTTTGGGAGAAGTGTCACAATTAAATGCATGTCTTGACCTAAATAATTACTAGGTCAGTGGTTTACACAACAAACAAACAAAAAAAAACAATCTTTTTTTTTCTTTGTGTAGATTCGAGGTGATGAGCGGGTCATCATGACCCCCCACGGGCTCCTGTTTTTACACGTGAGAAGCTCTGACGCCGGTGTGTACGTGTGCCAGACTGTGGAACACGGATATGTGCACACTTTACTACGGATCAGTCTGCGGGTGCTCAGAGGGGAGAGGTTGGAGTCGGTGATTCACACGCCGAGCGACAGCGGGAGAGACCGAGCTGCAGCCTCGTGCCACACCGTCATGGCCCCCCCACCGGGCCCCAGCGTCAGCCCCAGGTCCCTGTTGCCACCCTCGGCCCCGGCGCCCAACTCCAGGCTGTGGTACAAAGAGTTCCTCCAGCTAATTGGCTACGGTGACGCACAGAAGGTGGAGGAGTACTGCGAGAGAGTGTGGTGCTCTGATAAGAAGCGTAAAAAGACCAAAAGGAGGTACGCTCCTCTGGGTGGTGAAAAGAAAGGAAAGGGGAGGGGAGAGGAGAACTCCCACCGAGCTCCCAGGCACACTTTTGACACCTGAAGAGATCACACACACACACAAACACACGCACACACAGTCTAAAGGTCAGACTTGCTCACTGTGTGCACCGCCGAAGAGGTTTTTGCTTTACTTTAATTAAGAGCAGTAACATAAAAAAAAACACAGTAGCCTACTGCCTCATATTTGTAGCTACATTTATGTGTCTTTGTTGCTTTTATCAAAAGCCAAATCTCCTCTTTTCTGTAAATTTGTGATTAGGTGCATATCCTGAAGTCTGCAAATATCACTGTTAATAAAGAAGATGTCCTGGACAGACGGACAAAACATTGATGCCTCTGATGTGAGAGATCCATAAAAAAGTCTCCAATTTTCAAACAATCCCAACCCTACTGTCAATCAGAGTGATTCGTTTAAAATAAAGAACTGCGCCACTGTCACTGACTTGCAGAAAATTACAACCATTTTCTGTAAATATTATGAAAAAAAGCAATGTAAAAGCTCTTGTTTTTCTTTCATAGCATGGTAAATTATGCTTTTCTCTGTTTTAGTTTAAGGTTTTTTTTAGCTAATATAATAGTAAAAAAAATCTGGAGAACATAGTGTTGTTGTTTTTGTACAGTGAAAATACTTTGAGCTCTATAATACTGGTAATTTAAAGGCATTTCAGTCGTGGATGCCGGTTGTGTGGTTATAATAGCCAGGAGAATATATGTTGCATTGGTAAATGAGGCATGTTTCAAGTATAACTCACACAACACAATAAAACTATTTATGCACTTATAAAACCTGCTTCGATAGATGAAAAATGGTTTTAAAAATGAATATTTTTGTTTTATATTTATCTACATTTAATAGACTCCGCTTCTAATCCAGTGTGTCACGACTGTTCATATTGTATTTTGTATTTCCATATTTTATTTGTTTAAGTCTGGTTTTTATACCTGTTTATTCAAAATGTATTTTTTTGCAGACTGATTGTTTTTATTTTCCTTCCTCCCTCGTTTTTTTCCTTCCCTTTCATCACCTCTTATTTGTTTGACATCCCTCCATCTGATGATGCAGATGGGATGCATAATTACCACCCCAAAACAGCAATGCACAGCATCTCATTTTCCACAGGGTGAAAATGACAAATAAATGCTACAGTAGCCGTTCTAGCATGTCATTAGCAAAACTGAGTGTTATGAATATTCATTTAATCCTCAGATGACTGACACAGTCTGATATTACAGTGAAATGACATGTGGTTGTGCTAACTGCTGTGACATAGAGAATAGAGCTTTTATTTCCTTTGTGTTCATTATTTAGGGGTCCAAGCCCGAGGAAGCAGGGTAACGCAGCTGCAAAGCAGCAGCGTTTCCATGTCTCCATCGGAGCATGGAACCCTATTGTATCTGTTCCGTTTTTTATTATTATTATTATTATTATTATTAGGGGTCCAAGCCCGAGGAAGCAGGGTAACGCAGCTGCAAAGCAGCAGCGTTTCCATGTCTCCATCGGAGCATGGAACCCTATTGTATCTGTTCCGTTTTTTATTATTATTATTATTAGGGGTCCAAGCCCGAGGAAGCAGGGTAACGCAGCTGCAAAGCAGCAGCGTTTCCATGTCTCCATCGGAGCATGGAACCCTATTGTATCTGTTCCGTTTTTTATTATTATTATTATTATTTTTCTGCGCAAAAACTCATACTGGAGCCCAAACCGCAAGGACTATGAAGAAGATTTTAACAGGATAGTTGAATAGGAGCATGGAACCCTATTGTATCTGTTCCGTTTTTTATTATTATTATTATTATTTTTCTGCGGAAAAACTCATACTGGAGCCCAAACCGCAAGGACTATGAAGAAGATTTTAACAGGATAGTTGAATAGGAGCATGGAACCCTATTGTATTTGTTCCGTTTTTTATTATTATTATTATTATTTTTCTGCGGAAAAACTCATACTGGAGCCCAAACCGCAAGGACTATGAAGAAGATTTTAACAGGATAGTTGA